CCGGGCCCCTTGCTTGGTGCGGTGGTCGGCAGCTAGCAGTCTGAATCCGAAAAGTGCCTCTGTCTCTCTCTCTCTCTCTCTCTCTCTCTCTCTCTCTCTCTCTCTCTCTCTCTCTCTCTCTCTCTCTCCCTCTCGCAGCCGCACGGGCCGCCCCATGAGTGCGAGAGAGAGAGAGAGAGAGAGAGAGAGAGAGAGAGAGAGAGAGAGAGAGAGAGAGAGCGGGGGAAACACTGTTCGCAGTCGGCCTGCAGGGCTGCAGGACGGGGATGGCGATAGTGCATTCCGGCAGGACCGCAGTCGTGTACGAAACCGGCAAGCCGGCACTGCCGGGGCACTGCCGGGGCACTGCCGAGCAGCCTGGCCGGGCGGGGAAGGGAAGGGAATCCAATATGACGGCGCCACGGCGCCGCTGCGCCCTCCACCACAAGAAGGCCGACGGGCTGCTGGCTGCCATTCCCCGGCGCGGTCACTGACCCCGTGCAACGCCAGCAACGCTGGAAACGCCAGCGACGCGCGGCCCATCGACCGGGCAGCACGCCGACGGCCGCCGACGGCTCACCTGCCAGTCGTTGGCTCGTTCCGAGTTCCTGGATCACGGTGTCGACGGTGTCGGCGGTGTGGGTGCCAGATCCATGCGGAGTCAGCCGGTGCGCGCCGCCTCACTGGTCACTCACTCACTGCGGCCTGGGTGCGGCCCGCGACGACGACACTCGCGACACTCACTGGCGGCACGACGCCGACCAGGCGGACCAGGCCGACCACGCCGACGCCTCGGGCGGCGCGCAGCACTTCACGACGTCCCGCGTCCCGCCTCGGCTCGGCTCCGGGTCGCTCGCATCGACGGCCGACTCGGCTGGGCTCGGCGTGGCTCGACTCGGATCGGATCGACACGGCGGGCCCCGCTCCGCTCGACTCCGCTCGGCTCGGCCACTCTTGACTGACTGACTGACTCACCACTCACCGGCACCGTACCGGCGGCGGGCAGCGGCCCCGCGACGCCCCGCGACCCCTCCCCCCCCTCTCCCCGCGCCTCCCGCGCCGCGACGCCCAGGACACTCTGCGGCGCCGGAGGAGACAAAGGAGCAGTCCAGTGTGAGTGCGCCCCCCGCCCGCCGCCCCGCCGCCCCGCCGCCCCGCCGCCCCGCCGCCCCGCCCGAGCTGGCGGCCAAGGAGGAGGCACCCGAGGCCCGAAGGCACGGCGCCGTGGACAACAAAGAGAGACGCAAAAACCGAAAGCCGTGCCCGCCGCCGCTTCCGGCTGAATCACTGGAAGCACTCGCCGCCTCGTCTCTTCTGGACGTCCGCGTCGACACGTCGACAGTGGCGGCACGGAAACACACCTGGCCTTCCGCGAGGCGCAAGGCGCTGCATTCCAGCATTCCCGCTTGCAAATGGAGCGGCGCAACGGCGGCGAGGCGCGTTCCCCAGGGAACAGGGAGCGCCGTGAACGGCGCCCCGCCCCGTCCCGCCATGCCCCGCCCCGTCCCGCCCCGCCCCGCCCGCCCCGCCCCGCCCCCGCCGCCCCGCCCCGCGCCGCCCGCCCCGCCCCCCGCCGCCACCCCAGCGCAGCGCAGCGCCGCCGTTGCTGTCTACGGAACGGCCTTGAACAAAATCTAGACGCAAACTCATTGTTTCCGCGGCACGGCCGACGGGCAAGGCAAAGGCGGGGCGGGGCGGGCGGCCTGCATGTGATACCCAAACCCGCGACTACGCCAAGGCGCGCCAAGGCCTCCCATTTCGCTCCGGAAACAACGAACAGGCCGCCGTTGGCTTCTGTCGAAAATAATTCCAACTTCCACTTCATCACCGCCCCCAGCCCGCCCCCGCCGTGCTGGAAGGAAGGTGCCGTGGTGAACTCGGCGTTCTCGGCGTGGCGCTGTAGCCACGCTGATTCCCACCGGTTGTCTCGTCGCTCTCTCTCTCTCTCGCCCTTACAGTTTTTTTTGGCGGCGCGAGACGGAGCGACGACGCTCGGTTCGGAATCGGCCTGCAGGCACTGCCAGGCAGGGCGAGAATGTTTCGTCGAGTGAATCATCATCCCCGCCGACTAAGCCGAGAATTCCATCATTCCATCGTCCGCGTCGTCTAACTTTTTCATTTCGCTGGTTCGGCGCGTTGCGCGATGCGCGCGGTCGGTCCTGGTCGGTGCCGCGCCCTGCCCTGCCACGCCGTGCCGTGCCGTGCCGGTCTTTGCTCGCTGCTGCTGTTCCAGCCACGGGTTATTATTCAAGGAATGGAAATCCCGTTTGAAGCGCGGGGATTATTTTAATCGCAGGGAGGGACCCTCGGCGGCGCGTGGCGGCGCGTGGCGGCGCGTGGCACGGGGGCCAGCCCAAGTTGGGTCGTTAGGCGGCCCTGCAGGCCCTGCAGGCCCATCCCAAACAGGGCCCGCGTCGCGCCCCACCTCGCTCGCACTCACGGGGCGTCCGGGGCGTCCCGGGGGTGCGAGAGAGACGGGCACTCTTCGGAACCAGACTGCGGCCTGCAAGGCCTGCACGGCGCTAATCTGCCAACAGCTAACTTAATGGGGGCGGACTCGGCACTTTGCACGGTGGATCACGGCCGTGTGCTTGCAGCGTGCGTCCTCACACTCCGCGCGGGGGACCGTTTGGAAGATGATCTTCAACCGCTTGTCGGCCGTCTGCCACGTGATGCTGCAGGCTTTCCAGTGGCGTAGATAAAGTGCAGGGGGACACTTCTGGAGTGGGGGCCGAAAGAGAAAGGACGCCTCGCGGAAAGAAAAATTGCTCCGCCACTGGCGAGTCCCGAGTCTCTGGGCGAGTAGTTGCAGCAGGTAGTTGGGCTGATTGGGGCCAGCGGTGGCGGCCAGACGGGCAGGCAGCCAGACAGGCAACCCGGCAGGCAGGCAGCCAGCCAGGCAGGCAGGGTAGCGCAAGTTGGGGTGCGTTTCGCTTCGAGGAGCCTGAAAATTTAATGGCCAGTCCGGGCTACTCCGCGCACTCGATGTTGGGGCGGGGCGGGGCCAGCGGGGCGGCTGCAGGCTGGACGCACGCGATTCTGCTGCACCGGGCCCGGGATTCAGACCAGGCGGGGCGGACAAGGAGTCCAAAGGAAGCGGCGACAACGCCTCCTCGACTCCTCACTTCGGGCAGCCTGGGGGTGCGGGGATGCAGGGAGAAGGACGAGGGGAAAAGGGGGCAGCGGGACATAAACAGATTAAAGGATCGCGTCCCGTGACCTCTTAAAAAGCGCCCGGCGGCGGGGAAGGCTGCCGAAAGGGGGGGGGGGGTATTGATTGGGGGATAACGGCGGAGGGGGCTTTAGAGGGCATACATTGATAATACTCCTTACATGCGATACGTGTGTTTGACGAGCAGGCAATAAGCTTCGTATCCCATAGACTGCGGGGGGCGGGGCGAAATGAAGGGTGCCGGGGCAGCGGTGCCGGCCGGCAAGGACCTCGGCAAGGACAAGCACCAGCAAGGGGGAAGGCTCTGTCGGGGTGCCTGTACGCCCGCGCAGTCATCGGCAGATACCGAACGAGTAATCGATTGAAAAGACGGACAGACAGACAGTCCGCATGCATGTTCCAGCCCACGACCACGCACGCGGGCCAGGCCAAGGGCCAGGCTACATCGCCCGCACGGCTCATCAGCAGGCAAACAGCCGATCGCGAAAGGACTGAAAGGACGCCGCTTGGACGTGGCAGTCCCCAACAATAACGGTTGGACGGTTGGACGTTACCCCAGCCAGCACGTGACGCGCGGAGCAAGGTGACTTATTGAGGGGAAGGGGGCAGTTGTCAACCTGCTGCAATAGTGCACATCGCGCAGCGAAGGGGCTTCGCTGGGCCTCCTTAGTCCCTGCGCTGCACGCTCCGCTGCCGGCCGCCCTCGAGGGAGGGGGGAAGGGGGGGGGGCTGCCAATCAGCTGTATGAGCGCGGCCGATAACGATGCAAGACTGCCTGTCTGTCTGTCTGTCTGTCTGTCTGTCTGTCTGTCTGTCTGTCTGTCTGTTTGTATGCCTGTGAGTAGTGCGTGTGTCCCTCTGTGAATCGATACACGACACCACCACACATCCGGCGGCGGCACACGATTGATTCAAAGACGGCATGACGAGGCAAATGGTACAAATGGATCTTCAGTGTTGTTCCGTCACGAAGAGGAAGAGGAAAAAGGACGTAGAAGAAGGATGGGACACGGAAAGAGGTGGGGGTGAAAGCTGACATGGCGGTGACAAGGAGAGGGTACGGGACGGGGAGCATCCCACTGTGAGGACAGATAACACTATCCCTGCACCCCCTGCCGGATTCACTCGGTGACACCCCCTCCCCTCCCCTCTCTCCCCACCCCCACCCCATCCCAGCCTCAGGTGACAAATCTCGACCGGATCCGCGGAAAGTAGGTCATCCTCTTAATGGCGAAGAGGGATGCGGTGGGGCGGTGCGCTGTGAAATCGGGCCGGGACGAGGTTCAGCGGACGCGCATTCCGCGTCACGCAAATATCCAGCAACGCCGCGGGAAAAAATGAGAGAAAAAAGAACCACAAACACAATAAAACGAAAACACACCGACGGATTTGGAATGACACTGGAGGTCGAGGTGGGCAGCGTGGTCGTCCACTCCGTGCACCACCCGCGGCCCGTCCCGACCCGTCCATGGAGGCACACTGCGACGCGCCTAGAGATATACGAGCAGGCGAAGCGCCGCCACGCCCCACCACGGCGCGGCACCGCTCCCTTTAAAAAAAAATCCCCCTTCCCCAAAAAAGAGGAATTTTTCTCTCCCCTGCGGTTAACCCCTCATTTTTTTCCGTGCCCGCAACTGCAGAGTAATTTACACCGCACGCCGAAAACAAGAGAGAAAGCCATTCTGTCCAGTGCGATGAAAACGGGTTGGGGTGGCCCCGCTGATGGCCGCTGTCCCTTTCGCACTTATGCCCCCCGTGGGACCGCGAGAGGGAGAGAGAGAAGATACATGCGGTTCGAAACTGGAAAGAGGAGACGCCGTTCGGCGCGCTCTCTCTCCACTCGACTCACCTGCCAGCGAGTGGTGGGGGTTGTCGATGATCCGGATCTGGCGGTCGGCCACCACGGGCTCCCCCATGGGGCCGCCGATGTCGGAGGGCAGGAGCCAGCGGCACTGGGCCTCCTCGGCGGAGGACCTCGGGAAGTACAGCGGCAGCAGCACCTCGTAGATGCTGAGGTCCGCGTTGTCCACGGCGAGCACCACGGCGTCCATCTGGGAGAAGTTGGGCTGCTCCAGGTGCCTCCGGATCGTTCCTGAGCCACCAACGACGTTTGTTCATGAAAATTGTTTGATGCGCTTTGCCAAGCGAGCGGTTAGGCCCATTTACTTACGCAGTGCAATATGCGCGCCCCGGTCGGGTGGGTAGTTCCGTCTCACGGAGTTGATTACACAGATCCCTAGCGACTGCAGGTTGAGCTCCCGCGCTTTTTGGAGGACATTGCTGGAAGAAGAGATGACACTCGTCACAACATCTAGGTCGATCTGACGCGCGCGTCACGTAACCTAAGGTAACTCACCGGTAGCACATGTGGAGGGAGTTCTCGGCGGCCGTCTGGTACTTGATGTTGTACTTGGGGCCCACGGTGTGGATGATGAACCTGGCCGGCAGGTTGTGGCCCTGGGTCACTCGCACGCCTCCCGTCCGACATTCTGCAGAGAGAAAAACAAAGCGTCAACGACATTGTTCGTCTTTTTTTTGCCATAATGTCGAAACCTCCCCCGGCGAGACCGGTAAAAAAAAAACTGAAACGCGGCGCGAAAAAAATCCATCATCCGTGCTTAACGCAGAAAGTTTCTGCTGCTCTTATTTTGGCGCGGCGACAAAACTGTCAAACAGTACAGATAACGCGGTGGTGCGCGTCACACCGAAGGCGACAAAAGCCTTGACACACACACTGAGAGTGCGTGTCTACCAGCAACCCGCCACGTGGTCTATGGCCCAACTCCAGGTACACTCTCTGCTCAAACGTTTGGTGGGCAGCTTGTTTCCAAGCCCCCCACCGCGCCACCGCGGCGCCAAGGCCCCCAACGGAGGCTGGGTAGGCCGCACCGCATGCACGCCTGTGCGGCGGGACTGCCTACCCATTACCATTACCATTACGGGCTAAGCCTCCACTGTAAGGGGCTATAGGGTGCTGCTCGCGCACACTTTCTGAGGACTTAAAAACCCTTTTTTGAAAACGGACAAATAAAGCAGTACCTATGACTTCATTGATGATCTCGTCGCGCAGGGACCGGCCGGCGCGGAAGTGGATCCTGTCGCTGTGCGGGCTCCTCTCCGACATGGACTCGTTGGTGGAGTGCACCACGGCGTCCACGCTCAGCTCTGATATGTCTCCAGACCTGCGGGAAAAGAACGCGGACGCATTAGGGCTGAGAGAGAGAGAGAGAGAGAGAGAGAGAGAGAGAGAGAGAGAGAGAGAGAGAGAGACAGAGAGAGAGAGAGAGAGAGGAGACAGAGAGAGAGAGCAACGAAGCTCTGTTCGATAGCAGTACGGGAAACACTGGTTCGGATGGGTAGCCCTGGCCCCGATCGGCAGTGACTGTGACGCCCACCTCAGTGATAAATTATGGGCAGTTTAAGCACTGGCCCTTCGGGGCCCCTCCCCCTCCCCTTTCCGCCACACTGGTCCGGCGGTCCAGCGGCACGCTGCAGACTGCAGGCGGTCGGCTCACAGCGAATGCCGAGTGCCGTCCACAGAAGTGGTGCCCAAGGACCGCAGCCAGGACCGATAGGAATTTTGCAAAGTGTCGCGCGTCGCGCGCATCGCGCACCGCGTTGTCCTGCGCGTTCATCCATCACCCTAGTGGGCCCGCGAGGCCGCGCGCCGCGCCGTGCCGTGCCGTGCCGTGTCGTGCCGTGCCGCGCTGCGGTGACATTGCGCTTTCCCCTTTTGTGCCCTCCGTGAGGTCCTCGGCCGCCCTGGGCCAGCCTGGGCCGCCCCCGCCCCCAGCCCGGCCGCCCTTGCCCGTCAGCACAACAAGGAGGACGGGCAGAATGACTGTTCCACCGCACTCCGGCATTCCCTTTGTGCGGCGCACGCCGCGCCGTGCCGCGCCGTGCCGCGCCGTGCCGTGCCGTGCCGTGCCAATCCATTGATCGGCTGGGGCGCGTGCGGCCAGCAAGACACCACCAGACGAGACAAAGTTTCGGCCTGACCGACGATGATTGCTCGAGTGTGTTACAGTCCGTCCGTCCGTCCGTCCGTCCGTCCATCCGTCCGTCCGACTGTTCTGTTCGGTATCTGTCTGTATGGAGCCCGACCAGTCAATAAAGGCAGGAAGAATAATCGAGTCGTTAACCAGCGCTGGGTGTGGCTGGCAGCGCTGGCAGCTGTCGGCAAGGTGTAGGCAAGGCAGGGGTTGCGTCCCAGAGGCCCGCGCCCCGAGGGATGGCCAGGCTAGGGCCAGGGTAGGGCGAGGCCAGCCAGGAGGGCAGGCCAATCTGATGTGCGACACTCAACAATTGCCACAGCTGCGGGGCCCGCAGGGGTGGGGGTAGACGGCCATGCAGCAGCAGGCCTTTATGGGGGTGTGGGTGCGGGGACCGTGCGGGGCGGCGTGGGGCTGCAGATGCCGTCGGCAGCCGGCGGAAAGGCAACCCAGTGCTATCGCGCCTCTGCAGGCCGGCGCTCGTGATACCCAAACGGGCGCCGCCCCCGCCTCGCCCCGCCGCCGGCGCCGCGCTCAAAGGGTGCCAGGGGACGAGGACGACGAGGGTACGTTCATTGTGGCGTCGCTTCATCTCTCTCGCACTCGTGGAGTGTCCCGTGCGGGTGCGAGAGAGACGGAGCGACGAGACGCGCTTCGGAGTCAGTCTGCCGGGGACGAATATGGCGAGAATGGACCTGGCGAAGAAAGGCGGATCACTCCATGAAAGGAAATATAGCTGGGAGGGGCCGGGCAAGCGTTTTGGCTTTGGCGCCGGGCTGCGGCGGGGCGGGGCGGGCCGCCTATGCGGGCAATACCCCGCGCGCCGAGGCGCCTAGCGTCTCTCGGGCGACAAGTATTGCCGCACCCACGCCGCGCCCGGGCGCGTCGCACCCCGCCCCCGCCGGGCCGGGCCGGGCACCGTCCCGCGGTTATTGCGGTCTCTTCACGCCGGCTTTTTCCCCGTGCACCTGCACTCCCAGCACTCCCTGCACTCCCCGCAGTTGGTCAAAGACGGTCCAAGTTGGTCGGAGCGGACGGCCGAGGACAGAAAGTTGGTCAACGACGCCGCCTGGGGCGTAGGTACTCACCATAGTATGATCTTGTGGTTGAGGGTGGGGTTGTAGGGGAAGGGGCAGTGCTTGTGGGCGGGCAGCTCGCCGCTCAGGCTGTAGTCCGCCAAGAGGCCGCCGTGGGCGGGGGGCGTCTGGCTCCATCGCGTCAGCGACTTGACCTCCACGACCCGCGGGACCAGCCCCAAGGGGTCCGCCGCGTCCAGCTTCATCAGCCTGCAACAACACCAGACATTTAGTTAGATGGCCGTTTTAACGCTGTGTCAACACAATCCTAGAACCTGTGCTCCTCAAAGTTGGCCGTTAAAGTATTTAAACGCGCTTTTAACGCAACAAATGATTTTTGAAGTCACCCACTCTTCTAACGTCACGAACAATTGTTTGTTATTGTCAGTACAAAAAACGTAGAGTCGTTGAATCGTCCAACTCCTACTCATGAACCAATCACCCAAAGTGTTGCGATGCCCCAAACAATTCAAAGTAGTCAAATACACCACAAGTGGGCCAGGGCCATCTCCTTATCAGCCTGCTTACATAGTAGTTGTCCCGAGTTGTCCAATGGCCCCAGCGCGGGTACTCGATTAAGTTTTTTCCCCCTCTTGCGCGGGGACCTTATTTACGTTGCCTCCGACGGGAGTCGAACCCCGTAACCCCGTAACCGCCTCACCGCCGGAAACGGCGATAGCAGCGGCCAGCTCTAACTCACCCCGGCTCGACCGGCGTCGACGCTAAATATTTCAGGGAGAACATGGCTACCGGCAGCTCGGCTGCCCTGCCCTGCCGTGCCGTGCCCTGCCGCGGCCTCCCTCGGCGCGGCCCTGGCCGAGGCCTCCTTGCTGCTGTTGTGGTGCGCGGTGCGGTGCGCGGTGCGGTGCGCGGTGCGCGAGGATGGCGGTGCCCTCCGTCACTCCGTCACACTACAGCTCTGGTTGCGGGCGGCACGGCCTGGACCGCTGCAGACCAACGCTCTCCACTTTGTGGCGATAAAACTGGCCTGTGCATGAGCCGGACACGCCCGCTTGCCCCGCCCCGCCCGCCCCGCCCCGCCGTGAGATTAACAAGGCGCAGATAGCGGCCGGGTGCCACAGTGTGTCATACGGTCATTGTTGACATGCGCCGCCGTGCCGCCACCGCCACTCTGTTTCCTAAACTAGTTTCTCCTGGTGAGCGCTGACGGCGAGCCCCAGCCGCGCCGGCTGCAGGAAATTGTCTCGGGCCGAACACATTTTGAACAGAGCAGCAGCCCCGACACTTCTCGCGCGGGCCCAAAGCCGAGACCAAACACGGAGGGACTCCGATAGCCCGCAGAGTGGTGTCATGCACCCCGAGGAAGTCATCGCACTCCCGCGAGCAGATTCGGTTGGCCAACGGCGTCTCCTCGGTAGGCTGTCTCTCTCGCTCTCTCGGGGAGTCCGGCGGGGTGCAAGAGAGACGGAGCAGCCCGGCGTAATGAGCCGCCAAATTTACGGCCTCTTTTTGCGGCGCCAAGCCAAAGGTTGCGGCCGGTTATCGCACCGCGCCGCCGGCACCGCCCTCCTGGAGTCCTGCCTGGAGTCCTGGAGGAACAAAGTGAAAGCGAAGCGGGAACAAGGGGAGCAGGGAGCCGGGGAAAGGGGCAGCCGTCGATAAGGAACCCGCCGCCCCCGCCGTCCCCCGCCGCCTCGCTCGGCGCGAGAAAACCTTCGGGCCGCCGCACCGCCCCCGCGCCGCCTCACGCCCTGCCTGCAGGCTGATTCCGAACCGTGCATCGTCGCTCAGTCTCTCTGTTCCCCCGCACCCCTACGGCACGCCCCATGGGTGCGACAGAGACAGAGCGACGAGAGCACGCCGTTCGGAGTCAGCCGGCTGGCCTGGGTCGCCCAGCCCGACCCTGCCTGCCCTTCTGCCGGCCCTTTGATCTGCCAGCCGGGATGCCTACTCACAAGGGGTGGGGCAGCGCGGCGGGGCGACCCTAGGCGGCCCTAGGCGGCCCGGCCCCGAGCTACTCGAGCAGAACGCAGATACTGGCACGGCCACGACCGCGGTGGCGACGCGGTGGCGACGCGGTGGCGACGCGGTGGCGGCCCCGGCCCGGGTCACTAATAAGGACAGGTGCGGCGTCCACCTGGATGTGCCGTGCCAGGACAAGGCCGTCACGTCATGGGGGCTCTGGCTGGAACCACCCGGTTGAGTCTTGTGGGTTGTAAGCGGTGGCGACGGCTCACCGGTTGTAAGCGGTTAGGGAAAAACCTATACCTCGCCCTTTAATGCAACATTAATCAGATACTTAATTTAAAATTATTTTTTTTAAAGAGATTCTGTTTCTTATTTCCAGCCGAGGTACCGACACGACGGCCGGGGCCCTCGCCGCAACGTGAGAGGAGATTAGCCATCGCGGGCCGAAGACTTTGCCAAAGTAGCCCCCCCCCCCAATCCACCTCGCCTTGCCACGCCACCGCCACGCCGCGCCACGACACGCGCAAAAGGCCGCAGTAGTAACCCAATTTGAACGGGGTTGAAAGCCAAGGGACCGCGCCGTCATCGCCAGGGCAGGGCCGCGCCGCGGGCCCCGCCTTGCCCTGCCGTGCCCTGCCGCCGGTCCAGCGGGCTCATTTCGAAAAGCGCTCGCTCGTCGCTCTGTCTCTCTCGCACTCACCACGGGACGCTGGCGGCGCTGGCTGCGGGGTGCGAGAGAGACAGAGCGATGGAGTGCTGCTCGGAATCAGTCTCCTGGGGTTTGCCCTGCTCGGCCCTGCTGCTCCCGATCGATAGGAACACCGGTCGGTCGCGTCTCGCGATCGCACTTGCCGCTTATTGCGTTACGTCCCGGTACGTCGCCGCGCCACTTGGCGATAACGTCTCGCCTGGCCGCGTCGCCGCGTCGCCGCCTCCCCGAGCGCCTCCAGCCCTCCACTGCGTTGACGGCGGTCCTTTCCGTGCGAAAGCGTTTGAAAACGCGGGTGGCGGCGAGGCGAGGCCCCGGGGACGCCCCGGGACTGGCGGCGCTGTGACAATGATGTTTCTATTGTCTCGGCGGCGCCGCGCGTCCTGCGCGCCCTGCGCCCTACCCTGCCAGGCCCTCGCCCTCGCCTGGATTGCCTCCGGCTGTGCTGGGCGCGCCTCGTGAGTGCGAGAGAGACAGCCGAGCGCGCTGTTCGGAATGAGCCTGCTGGCCCCGTTCCACTTCCACCGGTTCCACCCTACCTGGGGGAGGCTGGGCTAGGCTTGCCCCGCCAGGGCCGCCAGGCCCGTCAGGCTGCAGCGGGCTGCTGGGCGTAAGGCCCCGGCGACGCCGCGACGCCGCGACGCCACCCCCTGCCAAGTCATAAGACCCTCCCCTCTCTCTCTCTCTTTTTCTCTCTTTCAGCCTGTCTGTCTGTCTGTCTGTCTGTCTGTCTGTCTGTCTGTCTGTCTGTCTGTCTGTCTGTCTCTGTCTCTCTCTCTCTCTCTCTCTCTCTCTCTCTCTCTCTCTCTCTTCGCCTCAGCCCGGCTCTCCCTCCGCCTCAGGCACATTTGAAAGAAATGTAGGTAACGGGATTCCGAAGCAATCCCTCACACTTACGGGCCGGGCCGGTCCACGCGCCCGGCGGATCCCTTCCCAATACACAGGCCGGCCAGCGGGCGCCAGCGGAGCCAGCGGGGCACACAGGCCTCCCAGCGACAGGCCGCACAGGGGAGGCTCTGCGAAATGGAAGTCCCGCCTGCCCTGGGGCCAGCCAACGGCCAGGCCCAGCCCCGAGGCCCGACCCGCATTTCAGAAGCCGCCTTCGACTCCACAGACGTTGTTGCCCTTGTGTCTGGGGGGTCGACCGCCTGGGGGGATATCTGTGTCTGTGTGTCCAGGTGCGGCCCGCCGCGTCCACGCGTCGCACTGCGCGTCGCACTGCGCGTCGCACTGGGCCACAACAATGGCTTCCGTTTCGTTTCGTTTGAGAGCGGACCGCCGCCTTTTTATGCCGCTTGCCTCCCAAAGTGGAAGCCGAGGGCAAAGTTTGACGACGACGCCACGGATTTGGTGCTGGCCGTTGAGTGCGTTGGTCGGCGGCGGGGCGGGGTGCCAGGGCGGGACTCTGCTCCGCTCCTCTCCTCCTCGGCCGAGCGCGCCGAGCGCGCCGAGCGGACTTGGCTGCGTTCCGGCTGCCGGCTGCCGCGCTGGCTTCCGTTCAACTTGGCGCCTAACTCTTGATCGCATTGTCTCCTCGGAGTGGTGTGGTGCTGCGGCCGGCCGATCCGATGACGCTCCAGCCGAGCTTCACCAGCTCCAGCACAGCGCGGCACGGACAGTATTATTTTTCCGTTTGTTCCTTTTAAGACCCGCGCGTTTTGAATGCAGGCAGTGTATGCGGCTCGCTCTCGTAGGAGAGGCGGCGCACGCACGCGCACGCTGGGACCACGCTGGTACGGCACGGCGTGCAGCGTCTGCTTATCCCATCTCCTTGTCTGGCGATGTTTGCCTGCATGCTTGTCTGTCTGCCTGTCTGTCGGCCTGTCTGTCTGTTCGTCTCTCCCAAACTCTCGAAGACTAATCAATAACCACACAGAGTCAAGAGACGGTCCCGGCCCAGCACGACACTGAACACGAGGCAATCAACACCCTTGCTGCCACGCTCTATCCTCCTCAATCCTTCTCTCCTCTATCCTCCTCTATCCTCCTCTTCTCCAACGCGAACGCACTCTGTCTCACTCGCACGCACGGCGGGGGCGGCCGCAGGCGGTGCTGCGAATAATGATTCTTAGATGTTGGCAATTTGTTCCGAGTCGCAGGCGCCTTGCGGGCGCCTTGCGGGCGCCAGGCCAAAAGAATGCCCGCCCCTGGCGGCCCGCTCCTCTGACCCCCCCCCCCCCCCCCTCCCGGAGGGAGGCTCAGGCTGAGCCCGCTGGAGGCTTGAAGCATGCTGGAAGCGCTGCTGGAGTGGCCGGCAAGAGAACGGATAGGGTCCTCCAGGTTGTCCGGCCGGCATCTCCAGCGGCGGAATCGCCGAGGATAGCGCCACTTGTGGTGGGCTGGAACCGCTGGAACTGAACCACCGCAGAGGCCTCTTCGCCCCCCCCCCTCCCCGCTCCCCCTTTTCGCTCGGCCCCTACACTGCGGGGCTCGGCTGGGCTAGGCGCAGCCCAGACGACCAGCCCACCGCACAACGAGCAATTCGACTCCGCCAGTCCTGCCTAGTGCAGCCAGACCCAATATTTTGACTTTTTTTTAAACATTTTTGCCTGATTTTTATCTTTTTAACCAC